ATTAAATCAGCAGGCGTCCTAGTCTGAAAGCACTACTGAGACTTGTTCAACATTACAGCAACTGACAGACAAGTGGTGGCTATGTGTGAGGTGCCTTTGCTGAGAATTGAACCCAGGTCTCCCGGGTGTGGAGTAAGCTACTCCCGGGTGTGGAGTAAGCTATCCACCATTGTTTTAATTTCTCTCCATATTCTCACTGAAGTAGATAAAGACAGTAATTTTCACCGGGGGCTTAGTATAGCAGTTTGCTGACCTGTTACTTTGCAAATGCTTTACTTATCTCCTACTTCATTTCCAGAAGTTAATATTCATAATTTACTATTATTTTGAGGCAACTATTTAGAAATTAGGGAGCTCTGGTAGTCTAGTGGTAAGGAGCTTGCTGCCAATCCAAAGGCACATGGTTCAAATCGACCAGTTGCTCAATGAGTGAAAGATGTCAGTCTCCTCTCATGTGATTAAACTGTCTCTGAAAAACCACTGGATGGTCAGTAATGAGTTGGATCTGACTTAAAACACATCATCAACAACATTTAGAAATAACTACCTCTCTTCCTGTGCGATTAACTGCCTCTGAAAACCTACCGGAGTGTCAGCTATGCATGGGTGCCAACTGTATGGCACACAAAAACAACAACAAGGGAAAATAGCCTTAGTTTTTCTCGAAAAAATTATGGGCTATGTTCCTAAGTTACTGATTTTAATGTCAGTTCACGATTTGTACAGACTTGGAAATAAGGCAAGATTTGTAAACTTGTCTGTTCCAAATCCAGACATATTCAGCCTTTAGAGGAAAAGCCTTGTTTTAAAAGCACTGCACTAATTAAACAGTATTTATTTTCTTTAGCTAAACACAGAGTTAGTTAGAGATGGTCTGGATGTGCAGTAAAATAGACACAAATTTGAATGGAAGTCCCCAGAGGGACTCACTTTCAGACATGCTACATGTTAGAGTTCTCCCTCTTCATTGTGGATTTTATAGTTATACTGGTTCCCTAGTACTAGTAATAAATGACCCCTGTAAAAGAAAGAATAACATTACTCGTGCTAATTTTCCCAAATGATTTTTACGTTACAGTTTAAGACGAAAGTAATATACTATCACCTAGCTCCCTCTGGTGGGCATATATATGAAAGTCATGCTGTCCAGTATCCTGTACTTTGTGAGGGAAGTTTTGATGGTTCCTGGGAAAAGAAACAAGCAAAAATACTACTTAGTAAGAGATATCATAATCTCTCTCATTGCCATCTGGCCAGAACTGACTCATATCTAACGCCTTAGTGGGGTTTTTGGAGACTGTAAATCGCACGAGAGGAGGTCGCATATCTTCTCCAAAGGAGAAAGGTGGATTCAAAACACCGGAGAGGCCCCTGCCTTTGGGGGTAGCAGGGAGCGCCCCACAGGTCACACGCCAGATAGAATAATAATTATATAAATGCACCCATGGGATAAAAGCTTTGAGCTTGGAGTCCATAATAACATGAATAATAAAATGGCAATAATAATTTCTGCTGAGATCACAGTATAAATTCGAATCAGAGGCAGATTTTACTTAGTAGCTTCTTAATATTGTCATGTTGGGATAAAATTTAATATAATGTGGTTGAGTCACTGGTTTAAATTATATGCCACGTATTATTCCAGAACCTTTCAAAAACACAGCTTTTTATAGTGACAGTTTTTACTGAGTGGATATTTTAATTTGAATGGTTAATTTTTTCTTAAGCTTGTTAACGTTTATTCATTCACAGGCTCCTCTTACGTATACTCACTGAATCAGGAAGATAGAGTTAAACTTTAGCATCTCTAAATTATGAGGAATTAAGTGACATCAAGTTTTATCTGAATGAGTCTACGCTGCTTTGATAGCAAATACTCAACACTGTTAAAGAGGAAACTGTATAAAGGCTTGTGATGAAGTTTTATTTCTAGAAGATAATACTTTTATTAAATTATAAGTTCCTTTTTTTCCCCTTATCGCCAGTGAGTCAAAAAATGTATAGCTGACCGTTCAGTGAGTTTCCTAGGCTGTAAATTCCATGGGAGGGGACTGTCCTCCCATGAAGCTGCTGGTGGATTTATCGACCAGGGGAGTGTGGCCTTGGGTTAACAGCAGAACTCCCTGTGGAGCCACTGTTGTTGTTAGATGCCCGTTTATTTGAGTACCATTCATAGTGCCCCTCTGAACAACAGATCTGAGCCCTGTTCTATCTTGTGCCATCCTCACACTTCCTGATACACAAGAGCCCACTGCAGCAGCCAAAGTGTGAGTCCACCTCGTTGAAGGTCTTCCTTTTTTTCGCTGACCCTCCACCCTTTCCAACATCATGTCCTTCTCCAGAAACTAGCACCTCCTAGCAACATACCCAATGCATGTGAGGATAAGCCTCATCAGTCTTACCTCCAAAGAGCACTCTGGCTGCACCCTCTCCAAGACCTATCTGTGTGTTCTCTTGGCCGTCCATGGTATGTTCAGTGCTCCTCTCCAACACCACAGTTAAAAGAGTGTGGAGCCACTCAGTAGAGCTTCTTGTAATGTTGAAAATTCACATTTGGTATTGAGATATTGTTTGACAGGCATTATCTCATTTAAGTGTTGGAGAGGCCCAGGTGGTGCTGTTTTTAAGTGTATAGCTCCTAACTAAAAGGTGGGCCATTAGAGTCTTGGAAGTCCTGTGGGATAGTTCTACTCTGTCCTGTAAAAAGCAACAGCTCACTGCTGTCAAGTTGGAACCAACTCATAGCTGACCCTCCAGAGGGTTTTCAGAGATTATAAATGAGAAAAGATTTTCCATTTTTCTCCCTCAGAGAAGCTAGTGATTCAAACTGCTTGCCTTTGGGTTGCAGGTCTTTTGTGCAATGCTTACTCTGAGTCACATTTGACTTGATACCACTTAATTGCTACGAAATGAAACTAGTGCTGTTGTATCTGGAGGAATAGTCTTTCACTTTGCACATCACTCTTTGTCAATGTGCTGTATGAGGTAACCTGAGTTTGCTATGTTGCTAAACCTTGTGCCATGGGGATATCAAATGCCAGAATGATTTCCCAATGTGAACAGTGTTTGGTGGAGCTCCTAGTTTGTAAAACAGGTTGGGAAGCAGGAGTGGCATCCACTTCCTAAACCACATGCATCTGGAAACTCTATGAACTTGGAGAAACAATGATAGCTATGGAAAGATATTAGATATTTTGTTCATAGAGTCACTATGAGATGACCTCGAGTCCACGGCGATCAACAACAAGAACATTATGGAAACAAGCCTTATGTTGAAAATGTAGTATTATTTTTATTTATTTATTTTTTTTGTCTCTAACAGCCTCACTGAGTCTTTGAGCACGTGATCATGAGTGTGAAAATTTGAGGGAAGGGTCAAACTTGTTGACATTGGATGCCAGAACCATAGCTCAGCACATGAAAGTTCAGATACTGAAGATCTTCATAAGGAATCTTTGAAATAGATAATCAAGGGTAATTTAGAAATTACCTCTCGGATCCTGAGATACATTCAGAATTAGAACAGGCAATTATCTTGAAGTTAATAATTACAAAAAAATAGCTACCATTTATTTAAATATTTTACCTGTATTAACTTCTTTAACCCTTACAATAACTCAATGAAATAGCTAGTAGGGACTATAACTGTAGACATTTTACAGATAATGAAACAGAACCTGTAATAATTTACCTACAGTTGCATGGCTGATGAGGGTGGTGGCCTAGTGGATATGGCATTGTACTGTAACCCAAAGACAAGTGGCTTATTCACCTGCTGTTCCTTGGAAGGAGGGTAGACAGTCTCCTCTTATGTAATGTATAGCTTCTGAAAAACCACTGGAGTGTCAGTTGGTTCTGACACAACAACAGATTATTATTATGTTTTAATCTGGTCTAGTTTCAGAGCTGACAATAATATACCACAATATAGCTTATTCTGTGGTGATGGAAATGTTTGGGGTGTGTGGTGTCCACTAGGGGAACCACTAGCCACTTGCGGCTATCTAGCACTTGAAATGTGGCTAGTGCAGTTAAGGAATGGATTTGTTCTTCTTTACTCAATTTGAATTAATTTAAATAGCTTGATATGTTTACAATATGCCTATGAAAGTTGAACAGTGAATTAGGTAGACTGAAGAAGAATTGATAGCTTGGAGTTATGGTACTGGTGAAGAATAAATATCCCATGGATATCCAGAGAAACTATTATGTCCTGGAAGAAGCCAAAATTCCCTTTAGCAGCAAGGATGGTGGGACTTCAAATGACATAATTTCTGCATGTTTTGAGGATGAACCAATCCCTCTGGGAGAAAGGAAAGGGAAGAGGGTCAGCTAAAGAGAAGAACCCTCAATGAGATGGCTTGACAGAGTTGCTGTAACAATAGGCTCAGATATAGTAGTGACTGACTATGGTGCATGACTGGGCAGTGTATTCTTCTTTTGTGCGTAGGTTTCTATGGGTCAGAACTGACTCAAGTGCCTAACACCGCTACCACCATTGGGTTACTATGTTGGACGGTGAAACCGATAGGATCTTTTAAATTCTGTGGAAATAAGAATGCATTAACTTTAGGATCTTATGATCTAACTTCTCTTTTTTAGTAATACGGAAACAGCAACCTGCATGGGTTAAATAATTTGTTAAGTAATAAACATTAAAAAGGGACAAAACTGGGGAGCTCTGGTGCCTAGTGGCAAGGAGCTGCAACTACAATCCAAGAGGCACACGGTTCGAATCCACCAGATGCTCTGCCGGGGAAGGAGGGACAATCTCCTCCTGTACCAGTCAGATCCGATTTGACGGTACACTCACACAATAAAAAAAAAAAGAAAAAGGGGCAAAACTGACATCTGTGTACTTACCAAAGTTTCTCTCACTGTGTTTACAAGTTTAGCTTTTAATGTTAATAGTTAATATTAGAGAAATTAATGTTTTGAGAAAAGAAGTAATGTACCCTTCCTTAAATACATGCTCAGTGAACACTTTCCTCTTCCCTCAGGTTATTGAAGCCCTCTCTCGACTTTCTAGAACACCTATAGCGCTGGCCACAGGAATCAGGTAGGCTTGTTCTACTGTGCATGACCTGTACAGTCCCATATAGTATTTATTAACCGATGGTTATGATCTACCAAGCACCACGAAGACTCTCTCACTCAGAGTTCTTCTTTAACCCACTGTGATCTAATCATAAGGAGCTGCACTACCAGGTCAAAGGCAGGTGGTTTGAATCCACTAGCTGCTAGATAGGAGACAGATGGACATTCTCCTCCTGTGTAATGATAACCTACTGGAGAGTCATCTATGGCTTGATTCCTACTCAGCTGGCAATGTGGGGAAGGATGGGAGGGTGGGACAGGCAGGAGGTGGGGGGGAAGAGAAAGAGAGAGAGAGAAAGGGAGGGAGGGAGGGAGAGGGGAGAGGAGAGAGAGGAGAGGAGGGAAAGGAGAGAAGTGAGAGAGGGGAAGAGAGGAGAAGGAAAAGAAGAGACAGAGAGGGGAGGGGAGGGAGGAAAGGAGAGAGGTGGAGTAGAGGAGGAGGAGAGAGAAAGAGAGTAGAGAACATGAGAGAGATATTGATTATAGTCTTTAAGTAAGTATAACTTTATTCACGTTGTTGTTGTTAAGTGCCGTCGAGTCGCAGGCGACTCATAGCGACCCTATGAAGGAGAGTCCTCGCTGCTACTTTATTCATAGTTATATAAATTTATGGAGTAACTACCAAGCCTTCAAATCTACTTAACCAAGGCCAGTGGCACAAGGCTAGCATACACATTGCATAATAACCAAATCTCTTATGTGTGCATTTTTGAGCCAGGAAGGACACAGGCATTGGTGCCTGGCTCCAAGATGGTGGCTGACTGCATCACTCTGAGTATGTGTGGATTGACTGTCATCTTGGGGAGGTGACTCCGTCCTGCTCAGGTCACAGTCTGATGAGCATGAGATCTGGTTTCTGTGCAGCACATATGTTGCCCCTCATTCTATCATAATGGAATCAATCCAAACTGACTCATAGCTCTGGTAACTTCATACAGGCTAAGCATTGTCCTCAATTCACCACTATCACGGAGATGGTTCTTTCTTTAACTTCCTCCAACACCTCTGTCCATAGGATTTCTAAAGAAAACACTAAAGCTTACCTAAATAAGTATAGTGAAAGATGTTACACTGCATTTATTTCCAACAGAGCGTTTTATTACCACTAGAGGTATTAAAATAACCCACAGCTTTTAGATGTTTATTTAAGAATAATAATATGCAAAATGATACAGACACAAAAATGTGTATTGGAAGCTTCACAATAAAAGAAAAGCTTGGAGGTAAATTCCTTAAGTAAATTCTGTCATGCCTTTGCAGTGGGGAGTGCATGGGATGTTGTTGGGAGCTATTTCTGTTTCGGTTATTACATAGTCATTCCTTCAATAAAGATCAACTGTAAGTAACATTAGGGAATAAAGCAAGCCTCACCAGCCACATTTCATGGAATTGAAACAGATTTTGCTACTTTGTTTTCTGAGGGTATGGTATTCATGCCTCCAGTTACTAAGGCTTGGTGACCCTTTGTCCTTGCCTCTCTTACTTTCATTCCTCTCGGTCTAGCTCACATTCTGATTCTTAGGGAGAAGGTCCACTCCTGTAGCACTACTCAGTACAGACCAGCCTCCCCAGGCACTGCCTACAAAGCACAGTGGGCTTCAGGAGGACACCTGCAGACTCTTTCTCCAAAGGGGTAACGAATTTGGCAGCTTTCTGTAGTATCAGCCTACAGACTGGACAAATGTTCATTAACCAATTCATCATTACATAAATATCTTTCCACCCCAATGTATATTTTTATGTTGTTGTTGTTGTTGTGTGCCATTGAACTAAAATCAACCCCTGGCTGACCCCCGAGTCGGTTTTCAGAGGCAGAAAATGGCACGGGAGGAGATTGCCCATTCTTTACCTGTGGAGCAACTGGTGGTTTTGAGCTGTGTGCCTATTTTATATTTTGTAATATAAAGTTAAATATATTTGTAAATAGTATTACTCAATTTTAACATAGTTTGTTATTTTAATTCTCCAGAGATATACATTTGATGGGTTTTATCCTTTTAACCTATATTTTCTACAGTGGACTTGTGCTATATAAATACGATCAAATGAGTCTAAATTTTTTAAAATTGCAAATGTTGATACTTACCACTCAATGTTAATTTATCTATAAAACATAGTTCTTCATAAATGTTAAGCATTGAATTAATTACTAAACTAGTATCTTTACCTTTTAAAAACTAAAACCAAAAACTGTATTGGCCAGTATAATTATTTAGCAATTACTTTGTTGTGTTTTCTTATACATTTTTATGAAGCATATGACATGTTGAGTACATCACAATTAGTATGCTTTGGCTTTTTTTGTTTGTTTGTTTTTTTGTCATCAATTTAGGGCATTATGTTGTCATGAAAAAAGTATATAGTAGTATGAGGCAAATAAAGTTAAAAATGTAAATGAAATTTTCTTTGATTAAGAGAAAAAAGATTTGTCTCTGAGGTGTGGTTGATTCATTTGTTCAATAAATAAGAATTAAAAAAATTAAATACCTTATTATTAAATTCCTAATGGCTGAGTAGAAGAGTACATGAGAGTCAGTAATCATGTGTAAAGGGCCCAGGACTTGTCTGCTGGTGGTTTTCATCTGTATTTCTGGACTGAGACATGGAAATGATTGCCACTAACTTACCTGTCATTCAGGTCAGTACCTGTAGCTGAAAAGACGGTAGAGAAGGCTAGGATGTCAGCACCCCTGCTTGATCTCTGATTGCGAAGCTGGGGCTGGTGGTCTGGGGTGATCCTGCCAGTGTGTGGCAGGTGGGAGAAGACATACACACACACACACTTCCATGCCCGTAGTTGCACACTAAGGATTCCTGGTGGCACTGGCTAAAACAGTTATCTGTCAATGGGAAGGTTGACAGTTCAAAGCCACCAACCCTATGGGAGAACGATTTGGCAGTTCTGCTTCCTTAAAGATTACATCCTTGGGAACCCTCTTGGGGCAGTTCTCTGTATTGTAATATTGATGTTGGGTGGAATCAACATGACAAGAATAATTATCTTTTGGTTTGGATTGCACACATGGTGAGTAGCAGTAATTGCTGTAGATGAGCTGGAGTAGCCTCCTTGGGAGACTCTCGATACAGTTGTTGTAGGGAAGGTGATTTTGAGAAAAGTCCAAACATGACGTTTGATGTGGTCCCAGACCCAGCTTATGTATCTGAGGGCATTGCTTGTTGAACCACACTATTTCTTTTCTCCTCCTAGGCCTTTCCCTACAGAAGACATCGTCAATGATGAAGACATCTACAAAGGCCTTCCTGACTTAATAGAGTATGTTGAGCATTTTCAGCCAAGCTAAACTACAGTCAGAATGTTCATATGCATTGTGCACTTTAACAGTTGATGTTAAAATAAGCTTTCTGAAATCACAAAATCATCCAGTGATAAGAACAGTCAAGAACTGACCCTCAGCTGGTGATAGAAGACATCACAAGAAAGCATTTTAGTTCTCTGTGTAGGTTTCACATCATGAAACTCCCTATGGAGAGAAAGAAGCATACTGAAAAGTAAAGTAAAATTGGAAAATTTCCCAAAGACATCAGAGGGAGAGTTGATGAAGCCAGAATTAGACAATCAGAGAACAATTAGAAGAGTAATAGAGCCTACTACTGGAGTTCAGATAATGCATGTTTTATAGGTTCAAGGAAGGACAAAATCATCGTAGGCTAGAGTTACCCAGGGGGGTCCTGTTGAATGATGTTTGATTTGAGCAGAGAATCCATTTGGGCTTATTATTTAATAGTCAGGAAAGCAAGTCAGGTGTCCGCAGCCGATTATCTTCTGCTGATTGAATGACTTGCACGGATTACAAATGAATCTGAAACGTGAGCCTCAGCCCTCAAGGAATTGATACTATAGATCAGACATGTTTGCAAAGAATTATAATAGAATCAGATTATGTTCCAAAAGAGTTTCAGAACCTGTGGAAATTCACCTGTCTCACACTCTGCCCTTGATTTTGCTCTAGGTCTTTAATCTCACTGCTTCCTCTACTGTAGGAGCAGCTTCTCAATATCCAAGTCCTTGTTCAGGGATGTCTCTGCAGAGAGGCCTTTCCTGACCTTTCTATTAAATATTTTGAACACTTCATTTCCTTTCTTTGTGTTTTTACAACTCTCCCACTGTCTGAGACACTCTACTTAAATTTATTATCTTCTCCTTAGAAGATGAGTATATGAGATTAGAGGCTATGCCTTGTTCATGACTGTATTGCTATATATGACTTCAAACAATGATTGATGCATAATAGGTTATCATTGTTTTTTTTAAAAAAATATTTGGTATTGACACATTTTTTCTTAATAAAGTAAAATACACACAAAACAGATAAATGCAGAATCTAGCTGAAGGGGACCAGTGGTGCTTTCTGCGTGGGCTGGAGAGAGCATGATTTGAAAACTGCTGAAAACTTACTGTTCCCGATGATGTTGAAAAAACATTTAGATCTGTTAAAGCCTCTGCCATTTCTGGATTATAAACTTTTCTGCAGGTGATAAAATTGAGACATTAGAGTATATGCATTTTTTAAAAGGGTGACAGTGTGTTGTACAGTGGTTAGAACAGAATATAAGACTTGGCTGTAAGTCTTGGCTTTGCCATGTATTAGTTATTTTATCTTTGACATATCAGACAAACTGTTGGTTTCTCAATTTCCTCATTTTTATAATGGTTTAGATAGTAATGTCCATCATGGTAGGTGAGTTGAATGAGCCCATATTTGCAGAGCTTTCAGTTATATGCTTAATACATAGCATTTGACCAATAAACGAGAACGTTCATTTCCATCAATGGTTAAGTCTCTTATTATTATTGTTGAGTTTTATAATTTCTCTTGTTAGTAGGAACAGAACTGCAGTATAAGGCTGTTGATTATTTTCAGTAATTCCATTTTGTTAGCTATTAAAATCCAGTAGGCTATTTGTAGCTATTGCATTTTTTGTATAATAGGAAGTGATCTATAATTGTGTTTTTGCTTCTAAGTGAAACCCGTGCCGACGATGAAGAAGGCCTGTACGACTGTGTGTATGGGGAGGATGAAGGTGGTGAAGTCTACGAGGACTTAATGAAAGCAGAGGAGGCACATCAACCTGTAAGACTTCCACCGGTTTTATTCTTAAATTATTCAGAATATTGTGTAGGAGTACCTTAGAGATACCACAGGTTCAGTGCTAGATGACTACAGTAAACTAACATCGCAATAACACGAGTCATACACATTTCTCGGTTTCCTAGTGCATATGAGAATTCTGGTAGCCTAGTGCATAGGGAGTTGCCCTCCTAGCCCAAAGGCATTTGGTTCAAATCCACCAACTGCTCTGTGGGGAAAAGATGGCCGGTCTTGTTCTGTAGCCATCTTTTCTGCCTCTGATACTTACCTGGAGGGTCAGCTATGAGTCAATTCTGACTCAATAGCAATGGATTTGGCTTTGAAGGAATATAAAAGCTATTTTTACATTATACTGTGGTCTACTGTGTGCAATTGTTATTGTTGCTGATTGCCTTCCAGTCAAGCTCGATTCATAGCGACCCTATGAACAAAAGGCTTGAAGCTCCTCTACAACTGTCGACATTTATCAAAGTTCATAGAGTTTTCCTGAGACGTGTTTAGGAAGAGGCTGCCATTCCTGCTTCCAGTAGTACTATATAAAGTTTGGAATATTGTTGAGAGTTATCAAAATATGATGGAGACTTGATTGTTGGGAAAAAAGGCCAACACAACAGAGCCAGTAGATCTGCTCACGATGGGATGGCCACAGACCTACAATCTGTAAAGCGAACAAAATACCCAAAAATAAAACAACAAACCAACCAAATCCACTATTTCTGTGAAACACAGTAAAACTATGTATGCTTGCATTATCAGTTATATACCTCTGGATCCGTAGGCACCATCATGATAGATGAAAAAAAGATTGAAACTATTAACAACTTCATCTTACTGGATCCACAGTTAGCATCCTTGCTCCTAGCAATCAGGTAATCAGGAGACACACTGCACTGGAAAAGTCTGCAGTTAGAGACCTCTCCAAACTATTGAGAAGTAATGATGTCAGTTTGAGGACTACGGTGCATCTAGTTCATGCCATGGTCTTTCTAGTCACTTGGTATGCATTTGAGAGCTGGACAATGAATAAGCATGACAGAAATAATTGATGCCTTTGAGCTATTGAGGTGTTAGAGAAGAGCACTGAACATCGCATGGATGACCAAGAGAGTGAATAGATATGTCTTGGAGAGGTGCAGCCAGAGTGCTTTTCGGAGGCAAAGATGACAAAGCTTTGCCTCACATACTTTGGGCATGTTGTTAGGAGGGGCTATTCGTTGGAGAGGAACGTGATGCTAGGAACAGCAAAGGAGAAGAAGACCCTCGACCAGGTGGATTGACATGGTGATGGCTGCAATGGGCTTTAATGTGTCAGGAAGTGTAGGATGGCACAGGATAGTACATGGTTCAGGGCTGTTGTTCATAATGTTAATATGGGTCATATTTGACTTGACAGCACCTAACAACAACAACAACAACAAACAACTCATGTTAAGAAAGATATTGTTTGAAAGACCAATTAATTCTTTACATAAGCATTAATGGAATAGTTCCTTTTATAAAAAATCAGGTTTTGCTTGCTTGGGAACTGATATCCTAGTTATTGCACTTGGAGATATGTAAGGAGGCATTTTGCAGTTTAACACAGCCATGGGGAATTTTTTTATCTAATCCTTTCATTGCACTAGTGAGGAAATCGAGCCTGATAAATTACTTGCCACTGAGCTAAATAAAGGCCAAGTGGCAATAGAATAGAATAGAATTTCAGGGAATTATGAAATTATATGTTGCTATGAAAGAAAATTTTCTCTTACAAAGTAGGTAATTTTTCTTTAAATTATATCTGATGTAGGAAAAAATGTTGGAGAATATTTCTTCGTATTCATTAGGTATCACTATAAGATTCTTTTGTGCTTTTGCTCCATTTCAAAATTTCTTGCTTTTTCCACTATAAACTTAGAAACTTGCTTTTTGATATTATTATATCCATGATGTGCTTATAAAGCTTCCTGTGCCATTGACATATCCAAAACCTGTACAAGGAATTAGTTTGAATTATTTTCTCTTCTGTAATTTGAAGCAAAGCAATGATCAATTGCTTAACATACTGCTTTTGAAACCAAAGGCATTTCTTGATCAGCTTGGTGGTGATCTAGGTTTCTTTGGTTCTTTGATGAGTTCATTCAGCTCTCTTGGTGCTTTTATCTTTAATCAGAGGCCGATGGATTGTCTGCTGCCCCCATGGGGAGTAGAGGCTTCTTTGGAACAGGAGAAAGTTACCTCGCTTGAATTCAGTACTTGTAAGGGCAGTAGGCTTTGTCCCACTGGATGTGCTGACATAGTACATGTGTTAGCATTTTCGGAGCATTTAGCATGGAATTTTTACCCTTATAATTGTCAGCCACTTTGTTGTTGACAGGTGCTGTTGAGTCAAGTATGAGCCATAGCAACCCTGTGAACAACAGATCTGAACTCTTACCCTATGACACCCTTATCATCTCTGACATACTTGAGCCCTTTACTACAGTCACTGTATTGGTGCCTCTGGTGGAGGATCGATCATCCTCTCTTTGCCCCACCTGCTACTTTTCCAAGCATGAAGTCCCTCTCCAAGAAGTAGCCTCTCCTAACAATATGCCCAAAGTAAGTGAGATGAAGTGTTGTCGTCTTTGCCTGCAGAAAGCATACAGGCTGCACTTTCCCCAAGACATATCTGTTTGTTCTTTTGGCAGTCGATGAGATATTCATACTCTTCTCCAATACCACAGCTCGAAGGCACCAGTTCTTCTTCTGTAATCTTTATTCACTGTCTGGCGCTCAAATGCCTAACAAGTGGTTGAAAAGACCAGGGCCTGAAGCAGGGGCACTTCAATTTTCATACTGATGTCATTGCTCCTCTATTATTTGGATGCTTCCTTTGGAAAGGGCCCTGACTGTAAGCTTTCTCAGTGCAGTATTTTTTTTTATCTTCTGGCTGCTTGTACCAAGGGTGTAATCCATATTGAAGTCTGTAGTCTTTGATCTGCAGCAAGCACTTTAAGGTCTCCTCACTTTCAGCAAGCAAGGTTGTATCATTATAGGGTTTTGATGACTCTTCCTCAAATTCTGATGCCACATAGTCCATAGAGTCCAACTTCTTGAATAATTTGAGCCGTATGCAGTAGGTATGGAGAGAGGATACAACCCTGGTGTACACCTTTTTAAATTTTAAACCATGTAGTGTTCCCGTGCTCTATTCGTCCAATAGCCTCCTGGTCTAGGTAGAGGTTTCACGTGAGCTCAGTTCAGTGTTCTTCTCATTCTTCTCAATGTTAATCATAAAGATTGGGCACTTTAGGTGCCAGAAAATGGTATTCTTTAGTTTCTCTTCCAGAGTTATTTTTGCTGAACTGCTAGCACTGGGTTATTTACATGGATCATGGAACAAGGCTAACAGGAACACTAACTTTGATTTATTGGGCCCTTCTTGTAGATTTGACAAGGCCCTAAGTGTTTTACATGGGTTAGCTCCTCCAGAACTCCTAGAGTTTGGTACTGCAATTATCTCTATTGTACATATGTGAAAAATTGAGTCACAGAGAATTTAAGTAACTTGTCTAAAGGCACCAAGATAGTGCAGTTAAACTGTGGCTTGATTCCAACTTCATCTGGCTTACAAACCTTTTGTCCTGGCTCTATACGGTGCTAGCTCCAGATTTATTCAGTCTCAGGAGAAAAAGTCATATCACGGTGTAAACTCTTAAAAAAAAACCCCAAATTTGAAAGTTTGTACCCAACAAATAAACCTTTCCTATTTTTAGTTATCTGCATAGTACTTGTAAAATATACTGTGGATTGATAATGACTATATTATCACATTTGTGGTATTTCCAGATTTATTAAAATGATAATGAGAGAGACATTAAAGAGAGTATCTATATTCAGAAGCTTCATTTTAATCGTTATAACATTTTCTTTATATTGTCTAAAATGATAAAAGCATAACAAACCCAAGATACATCAGAAATGACAGTAAAGTTGTCTTTCAATTATGTGCTTTATTAGAATGGAATATTTAAGACATTCATCATCAATCTTGATCAATCTAGATACAACCAACTAGATAATACAATGGAAACCAATTATTTGTTGAACTAATTTAAATTTGATGATGATTCTAATTGCAGAAATGTCCAGAAAATGATGTAAGAAGTTGTTGCTTGGCAGAGATTAAGCAGACGGAAGAAAAATACACAGAAACTTTGGAGTCAATAGAGAAAGTAAGTAACTATTATTTTTGATACCTCAATACTATTTTTTATTGTCATAACATTAGAGTTAATAGTCCTGCTACTGTGTATGTGTTTTATGTTTGCATATTTATGAATTCTATACCTATTTATTGATTTCTTTGCATCTAAGAGGCTTTTTTTTCTAGTGGCTGGAGATACATCCCCCCCAACAAGAACAACAATAACAACAACAAATTTAAAAAAATCAAGCCCAGTGTTGTTGAGTGGAAGGAGAACAGCTGAACTGTCTCTCATGATCTCCAAAGCTGTCAACGTATATAGAAGCAAGCACGCTGCCACATCTTTGTCCCATGGAGCAGCTGTTACATTTGAACCAAGAAACTTTTTGTTAGCAACTGACCTTTCACCACTGCACTAGTCTCATTGACGTTTCATATTCCTTAAGGGTTTAGAATAGAAGCACAGCAGTTTACAAAGCATCAGGTGGTGATGAGTGTTCTGTATAAAAATACAACAAGGGAATAGGATAGACAGTGATAAAGATAGTGATAATAGTATAATTATGTAACAATAGCTATCATACCCAGAAGGGTGGAGGGACAGTGCAAGTGAGGAAGACCCTGGGTGAGATGGATTGATATAGTAACGGGGGTAATGGAGTTTGGTGTGTCGGAATCAGAGAGACTGGTTCAGGACAGGGAAGGCTTCAAAACTGCTGTATAAAGGTCACTGTGAGTTGCAGACAACTCAATGGCACAACAACAATAACATCATATAGAGTGAGCAAAGGCCTCTAGGATAACATTAACAATGTGTCATCTGATTTCAAGTTTCTTTTGTTTTTAACAACTTATTCGGGCTTGTGTGAGGCAACGGTAAAAGAGACAGTAAGAAGCAGTGAGATTCTGAGAGAATTTTGAAAGCAGAGGCATGGTATTTGGTGGTAGTTTAGATAAATGAAGCTAATGTGGAGTAGAGAGGGCGAAGGGAAGATAACTGCTCAGATTTTGGCATTAACAACTATCAGAAAAGTGAAGAATGGTGAAGAACGCTACTGGAGAAGGAATGGGTATAGGAATCACAGGTCTGTAAGGCAGAATTCTGCCCTTTTGTGGAGTAGACGCTGGTTCATTTCCTGACCATTGCATCTCATGTACAGCTACGACTCCATGGCCAGCAGAGACGTGTGAGTTGTCATGATGCTGAATGACTTTCAGTGGAATTACCAAACTCAGCCAAAGAAGAAAGTCCTGGTAACACTCTTTTGAAAACCAGCTAATTAAAATCCTGCGATCACAGTGGTCTCATCCACAACAGATCAAGGAGCTGTCTCAACACAGGCCTGCATTTTGTTGTTTTGAATGGGAGCACCTTGAGTCAGGGCCCACTTGTTGTTTTGTGTGCAGAGTCGAGGACAGTTCATAGCGACTCCATGAACAATGGATCTGAAACCTCTCTGTTCTGACATACTTGAGCCCATTGTTTCAATTACTGTATCAATACATCTTGTCAAAGGCCTTATTTTTTTTTTTACTGACCCTCAGCCTTTCTTACCATGATGCTCTCCTCCAACGACTGGACTGACCTCCCCTGAGAACATACCTAAAGTATGTAAGATGAAAGTTCACTATTCTTGCTTCCAAAGAACACCCTGGTTTCATTTTCTCCAAGACAGAATTGCTTATTCTCTTGGCAGTCTGTGGAAATTCAGTACTCTTCTTCAGCACCATAATTTAAGGCATGCCTTCTTTTTCATTTATTTGTTCAACTTTCAGATGCATAGTAAGCAATTGAGAAGACCATGGCTTGGAGTAGGTGCACCTTAGTCTTTAAGCTGACATCATGCTCTTATCAGCTCATCATAACAGAAATATTAGACTTCTAAATTGAGACTTCTAAGGAGAAAGATTAATGAATCTAAAGATGAGATTGAGATACAGATTGGATTGTTATTGTTGCAAAATGACACTTAAGTTCATGAACTGTCAGTTCTTTACCATCTAGGCAGAACTAAATCATAACTGACCCTACAGCAAGTGTTCAGAGGCTATAAATTGAACAGGAGAAAATTATCATTTTTCTCTTCCAGAGCGGCACTGCTTTTGGGTTAGCCCCACAACTCCCCACAGACTGCTACCAGTTCTTCCTAAGAGCTCCCTGAGCATTCGAGAGCTTCTTCCCACGAGGCCACCAGAGCTCCCACAGTACCTAGGCGAGCTTTCCTGGGGAGACCTGGTGGCCTCATGGTTTCCTGTGCGATTTACTGCCTCTAGAACTTGCTGGAAGGCCAGCTACGGGTTGATTCTGACTTGACTGCACACAGCTACCAACCAGTAACTCTAGTGACCTAATGGTAAGAAACTGCACTTCAATCCCAAAGGCATGCTATTCGAATCCACCAGCTGCTCCACAGGAGATGGATGGGCAATCTCCTACCTTGTGATTAACTGCCTCTGAAAATGCACAGGAGAGTCACCTATGTTTTGGTTCCAATTCAGCTGCACACAGCAGCCAATCAGCAATGATGGCTTAGTGGTAAGAACTTAGACTGAGAGGTCAAAGGCACGTGGTTCAAATCCGGATGTTCTGAAGGAAAAGGATGAACAGTCACTTCCTTTGAGACTTACTGCTTCTGAAAACCCTCTAGGGGGTCAGTTATGAGTTGGTACCAACTTGATGGCAAACAACACTATAATTAGGAGTTGGAAATTAAGACTAATGAGGAAGATCTGTAAGTTTGGGAAGAATAAAAAAGGTGTGAAAGTGTTACTTAGGAGATAATTAGAGATAGATAATGGGACTATGTAGCATTGTAGCACAGCTTATCTTTATGACTTTATTTAAAATGAGACTTCATGTTTATGTTCTTAGATACTGCTAGTAAATAGTGGCAAGATTTAATCAGTGTTTACTTAATTTTTTTCTGGAAAGCACAATAGAACAAAAGAGGGTATTATTAAAAAAAAGTGATTCTGATATTGGTCCATGGAGTTTAAATTGAGTAAGAAAGAAAATGAGGACATGGGAATTGAGGGACAGTGGTAGAGTCAGTGGATTGGTGGGCAAAAATGAGGTTGAAGAATTCTTTGAAGGAATGAACAGCAGGTATAAGGTAGCTATCACTGCTATAAATCCGAGCTATCCATTTGTTGATAATGACAAGGTCTTAGAGGGTGAGCACAGGAGAGGGACACTGAGCTAGAAGCTAACACGTGCACTGGAAAGTCTCCAAGGATGGAGGGACCAGGCTATTGAGAAAATAATCTGCCTGGATATTTAGATTGTAAAGAATGAAGATCGAAGAAGAATGGAAAGAAATATGGTAGACTAGGCAATTCAGATTCTCAAAGACTAAAGAGGAGGAATGTGGAGTTGGTGTATAAATGACATAAATAGATGATTGGTCTCAGGATCTGTAATCTCCACCAGGCGTTTCAGAGGCAGGCTGTAAAATCTCTGTCGTGTATTTCCTCCAGCATGCCATGATATTTGACCATCTCAACCAATTGAACTTTCTTGTCTCTTTTTCACTCTCAGAAGCACTTGTTGCCTAAACTACATGTTATAGTCATTAACCCTACTTTTCCTTTTCATCTTTGTTCATGTATAAAATCATTAAGCTGGGGAAAACTAGGGAGATATTTTGTCTCAAATGTCAATAAATATTTGTTGCTGAAAAATTAATACTGTGTAGATTAAGGAAAAGTTATGCTGAATTATTAACCACTTCCGTGTTTTTCCTCCTACTAGTATTTTATGGCACCGCTGAAAAGATTTCTGACAGCAGCAGAATTTGATTCGGTGTTCATCAACATTCCTGTAAGTACAAATACACTAGTGAAAACTCTATTCTTCTGTACAATTCCAACATCTTGTTGGATACCAAATCCCTGTTTTAACACTTTCTTATTTTTAAGGATTTTTATTTTTTTTTGATCTCTGAATTTTTAGATCCTTCTTAGATCACTAAGTAATTTGTCATATCATTAACATAAAATTAGTTGTAAAGCCAACAGAACATAAATAGATAAGAGACCTGCTTGTATTGTTGTGCACTCTGTCAGACACCCCAAGTGGGTGATTAGTTACATGATTTGTCTCGGAATGGTCCCTTTTGCCCCAGGCTCCCTCATCTGTTGCTCCACCAACTCCCTGCAACCCTTCTCCACCCTGTACATTCCTTTCTAATTTACATCATTCTTCTCCCTCCTTGGCTGTTGGGTTTTAGTGCTTTCAACATCTGAATGAATTAACTTTAGCTCTTATTTCTGAAATAGTCTATTTCCCTATTGTTCAACAGACTGCTTCATGGTACATTTCACATGCCAAGATACCCGAGATAATCTTAAAAACTTAAAAGGATATTTACCCTATCAACCACAGATCTGTACCTTGCCCTATCCTGCGCCATCCTCATAAGCTTTGATATTCTTGAGCCCATTGTTAAAATCACTATGTCAGTCTATCTTGTTGAGGGTTGTCCTCTTTTTCTCTGACCCTCTACCTTTCTCAGCTTGGTATCTTTTTCAAGACCTGCCCCCTTTGCCAATAGCGTGCTCAAAGTATATGTGATGAAGTTTCACCAGCCTTGTCTCTAAAAAGCACTCCGCTATATTTTATTAATTTTCATAAACATTTACAGAGATTTTGGGTTTCCATTCATTCATTGTTGCACTATTCTCTCTACCCTCCTCCCAGTTTGTTCTTGT